AGGAACAATAACACATCTACCATCCTACTGGGACATCTGAGCAGAACCCTCTCATTAATTGATAGATCAAGCTGACAATGAGTCAAATAAGTACGCAGAAGATCTGAACAGTTCACATAATAAACCTGAATACAATTGTGAATACAATACTTGACCCAACAAGGAAAATATATTTTCTTTAGGTTCACATGGGACATTTATAAAAACTGATTACATGCTAGGCCAAAAATTAGACTCTGGCACTTCCCTGATCAAAATACAATTAGGTTATAAATATAAAACAATAATTAGAAACACTCATGTTCTTGTAAATTGAAAAATACATTTCTAAACAAGTCATTGGTCAAACAAATTGTAGCAGGGATTAGAAAATTATTTCTGAGCAAATGAAAAATGAAAAATCACAATTAGGAGGCATTTGCAATACTTGAAGCAGTTACAAAGGTGCTTAGAAGAAAATTGATTGCCTTAAACATACACATTCAGAAAAAAGCCTCAAGCCTAATGGACTAAATAGCCAATTTAAGTTTTAGAAAAACAAACTCAAAGAAGGAAATAATGGAAGTATGAGCCGAGATAGAAAAGCTCAACAAAGCCAAAAGATGGCTCTTTTGACTAGTCTAAAAGACTAATAAAATAGAAATACAACAAGGACATGGAAACAAAGGAAGGTACAAATAAAATTATTAGAAATGTTAAAACAGAAGCCTAACTACAACTACCTCAGAGACCAAAATATATAGGAGGATAGTACAGACAACTTTTTGATATTAAAATTGATGATAAAATTGCTAACTGAAGACATGGATAAATTTCTAGAAAAATACTACTTACAAAAATGGATTTTACAATAATTAGAATTCCAAAATAGCATTATGACCTTTAAAAAGTTGAATTAACACTTAGGAAATCCTTCTACACACACACACAGACACACACACACACACACACACACACAATCTAGATTCAAGTAAACTTCCATGCAAATTTCCATTGACTACTCAAAGAACATATATATTTCAATCTCACACAAAATCTCTCAGAATGGAAAAGAATGACTACTCCTAACTTATGCTGTGAGTCTACCACAGTCTTGAGAGCAAATGTGGAAAATGATAGTACAATAACACCACAGGCCAACTTCACTTATGAGTATTTACACCAAAAAAATCTGAACAGAAAATTAACAAACAAAATCCATCAATGTATATGAAATAATTCATCAAGACCAAGTTGGCTTATTCTAGAAACACAAGGTAAGTTTAATGTATGAATATTAATAACTATTTTTCATCATTAACATAGTAAAACAGGAAAACCATATGAGCTTTTAAGTGCAAACAGAAAAAAACTCTGAATAAATTTCAGCACTGATTCCTAAGAAAAATTCACCACCAATTTAGAATAAAAGGGAAGTTCCTTACCTGGGTAAAGGTTAATTCATAATCTACAACAAATATTCTGCAAAATAGTGAAACAATGAGAGCCTCCCTTTTAAGATCAGGAATACGGTAAGGAGGCCTGTTTTCACCCTTTTAGCTGTGTAGTAAGAATACTGAATATTCTAGCCATGCAGTAAGAATGAATGAAAGAAAAGGCATAGTTATTGGAAAGGGATAAACAAAACCACCATTATTTGCAGGTGATATGATTTGTAAAAATTCCAAGAGAATACATAAATAAATTATTAGAATTAATATAAGAATTTAGCAAGGTTGCTGAATACAAAAATCAATATTCAAAAGTAAATTGTGTTCTATACAACAGGAAGGTCTGGTTAGAAAATGCAACTTTAAAAAATTGAGTATATAGCAACAAAATCATAAAGCATCTTGGAATAAGTCTAATGAAAATGTCCAGGCATTTACATGAAAAATTATAAAATTTTATTGGCAGACACGTAAAAAGACCTAAATAAATGGAAGGTTATATATTATTCTTGAGTTGAAAGACTCTCCAATTGATTTAAATATTTAGACAATTATAAAAATCCCTACTAGAGTTTTTGTGGAATTTGACAAACCAATTCTAAAAATTCATAGGCAGTTAAAATGGGCCCAATACCTAGCTAAGAGACTCCTGAAGAAGGTCAAGAGTTGGGGTCAGAGTCCAGGTGCACTGCCCCTTATCAAGATTTGCAAAATTAAATCATAGTAATAAAGATAATGTAGTTTTGATTTAAGTAGACAAATAGATCAGCTGAACAGAATAGCCTGATGGGAAGAAACCTGCATACATGGCAAACTGATCTACAACACAGTAGGCATTATTGGTAAATACATTATTCAATAATTAGGTCTGATAAAATTAATTATTCATGTCAAAAACATAAAACTGGATCTCTATCTCAAAGCATATGCAAAAACTAATTCCAGATGGATTAAGAACTTTCAGAAAACAACATAGGAGGCTATTTTTATGAACTCGGAGCAAAAGATTTCTTAAATTGATTTAAAAACTCACAAACCCATTAAGGTAAGAGTTGATAAATTCATCTACAACAGGAAGGATGTAAGTTATCAATAGAGATCATAAGAAGTGAAAAGCTACATAAACTGGGATAGAACTCCTTCAATATACATGTTGAAATGTATAGATAATGTCCTAGTAATTAAAATGTAATGAAATCTTATAAATTGTTATGAACATAAAAATAACTCAAAAATGGGTAAAAATGTTCATTTTACAGAAAGGAAAGAAAAATTCCTCATGAATAACTGAAAATATGCTCAATAGTAATCAGGGAAATGCAAATTAAAAGCACAATGACATAATTTCACATCTACTAGATTGGCAAATTAAAAAGTCAGATTATATTAAGTGCTGGTGAGGATGCAGCACAATGGGAACTTCTATCCACAGCTGGTGGAGGTGTACATTTGAACTATCTTTTCAAAAAGCAATTAGGCATTAACTAGTAAAGTTGAACAAATGCATATCCTCCTTCTAGTCAATTCTACTTGGAGTGGTACGTCCCACTAGGAGTGGTACGTCCTAAGCAGTAATGTATATACAATGTCTATAGGATCTTGTTAAAATGCACATAATGATTTAGGAGCTTGGGAATGAGGCCCCAGATTCTGCATTTCTAAGTAGCAGATTTTAGGGTACCTATAATGTTCTATTTCTTGACTTGTGTGATGAATACCTGGATATTAGTTTCATCTTATTCTTTAAATGGTATTTTTACAGGTGACAGATTGTGAACATTTTTACCACCTATGTAACAGAAAAACACTTAGCTCCCACTGAGTTCTCTCTTTTGGGCTAACCTGTCCCCCTGGATAGTGCTTCTTCTGATTTTGCTTTCATTATCCATAACCAGATCAGGGTAATCTGGAGGCCCATCTCTTTCACCAGGTCTTGGGGCTCAGTATGTGTGAGACTGGAAATGTGGGAAACTGTCTATAAATGCTTTTTTGGCAGATTCTCTTCTCTGATGGTCCCCCATGGTCTCTACTTGGGGGAAGCAGAAAATAGCCCATTTGGCCAGAGAGGCAGGTTCTATTCTCCCGTTCAGCTGTATCAGGAATTTTTATCCCCACATTTTCCCTTGTCTGTTTCCCAGTTGGTTCAAAATCCACAGGAGAAACCTGGTAATTGGCATTTCTGAAACCCACAACAAGGACAGAAGTCTGCCAGTTTCAGTCGCAGCAGAGACCAGTCCTTGTTTCTTGGTAAGACTCCAGGTAGGTGGTAATAATTTGGAGAGGAATGCCTAAATATGTACCCCTGGAAGGGCCTGCTAAAATCTAGTTATCAGGACTTTGATCCAAAAAGTGCACAGAAACTGCCAAGCCACCTGACTTTAATGGACCACGTAAACCAAGACAACCATCAGCAAGAACCATGCTTTTTATTGAAGACACGAGTATTCTGATTGGTTCTGCCTGAGTCATGTGTTAATCCTCAACTAATTACGGTGGTCCATGAAATGTGAGGTTGTGAAGTTAGTACCATATCAATCACACGAAATTAATTTCATCACAGAATAGGGGAGGGATGATTCTCCCAAAGGAAGGAAAGTTAAGTAGACAAAAAAAAAAAAAAAAAAATACATGTATCATAGTCATCTGGAGAGCAAGGGCCACATAAGACAGTTGTTTGTATCCTATACAGGGCTTAGGATATTGCCTTGACTCTGACAATGAAGAATATTTGGATTCACTGATGCTTTTAACTTGTCAAATAATTTTATAATGCAGTTAATTATCTTCCCTTGTGCCAGTTTTCTCTTTTTAGTTATGTTCATTCACTCTCATGTTAAAATGGGTTTGAGAAACCATCCAAAACAAAGAGTATTCTTTTGGAACAGGATGTATATACTGGAAATCAAAGAGCCCAGTAGTCTGAAAAACCAGAGTCAAATCCCAGTGCTATCTTTTAGTAGCTGTGTATTTTTATCCAAACTATTTAACCTATCCAAGCTCACATTTCCTCGTTTATAAAATAAAGATAATAATACTTACATTTGTGCATTTGTTATGAAAATTGAGAGAGATAATTTACATAAAGTCTGAACATTAGAAGTATATGTTCAAATAGTGGTTGCTACTGTTATTTTTAATGTTTGTTCCCCAATATTAGTTTGGCATCTTATTTGAGTATATCCTGGTTGGTGAATGAAAAGCTTATATGAAAATAATAATGCAGATAATCCATTTGTGGCTAATTCAAAGTTAAAGTATTTAAATATTTAAATAAAAAATATTTTATTTATTTATTTGAGAGAGAGAGAGCATGAGCAGAGGATAAGAGCAGAGGAGAAGTAGACTCCCCATTGAGCAGGGAGCCCCACGTGAGCCTTGATCCCAGGACTCTGGGATCATGGCCTGAGCTGAAGGCAGATGCTCAACTGACTGAGCAATCCAGGTACCCAAAGCTAAATACTCTTAAAGAGCATTAATTGGGGTGTCTGGGTGGCTCAGTCGTTAAATGTCTGCCTTCGGACTTTAAAAAAAAGCATTAGTTATCTTTGTATTCAGTATTACATTACTTACATGACTTTATAATACCACAGGAAACAAATATGGGAACTGTCCACAGACAAATTGCGTTCTTCCTCTGAATCCTGAAAGCAAATGGACAATAAACTATGGTATATAAAGGTAACTTTAAAATAAATACAAATTTGGATATAGTCATAAAAGTCACAGAGGAACTAAATTAATTATCTAAGATCAGAGGAAGTATAATGAACAAATTTCAGAATAGAACTAATGAATATTGTTAGCTACTCTTTGTAATTAAGAATTTAATTTGTAAAAAAAAAGAATTTAATTTGTCATGAGTGACAAATTTAGATAGCTTATTATTTCTGTTATATTTGTCTTTTTTTAAGCAGGATTTTTTTTTAAAGATCTTATTTATTTATTTGACAGAGAGAGACCCAGCAGGAGAGGAGACACAAGCAGGGGGAGTGGGAGAGGGGGAAGCAGGCTTCCTGCTGAGCAGGGAGCCAGATACCTAGTTCGATCCCAGAATCCTGGGATCATGACTTGAGCCGAAGGCAGACGCCTAACAACTGAGCCACCCAGGCGCCCTTCTGTTATATTTGTCTTTGTGAAATCATGAAACATGTACATATGAGTCTTTGCACCCCGTTCCTGCTAATATTTGGTCTTTGACCCTGGTGCCTGATGCAGAGCTCCTACAACTCTTATAATCTGCTGAATGACAGGAGGGTCTGATGTAGAGCCCCTTTTATTCTAATGAGGCGACTCTGGGTGGGCTCCTGGATGGGATGGTCCCTAGAAAGGCCAAGCCATCATTAGAAGCTTGGAACCTTTAGGTCAACTTCCCACCCTCTGGAGAGGAGAGAGGGAGTAGAAAATGAGTTGATTAATCATGCCTATGTGATGAAGCCCCCATAAAAATCAGAGTGCTTCCAGGTTGGTAAACACGTCCACATGCTGGCAGGGTGACACAGTCCAGCTCCACAGGGACAGAAACTCTTGTGCTCAGGGCCCTTCCAGACCTTGCCCTAGGTACCTCTTTTCTGGCTGCTTATTTGTATCCTTTATCATATCTTTTGTTATTATAACCGGCAAATGTTTTTCCCTGAGTTCTCTGAGCTGTTCTAGCACATTATTGAACCTGAAGAGAAGGTTGTGGGAACCTGGATTTATAGCCAGTCAATTAGGTGATAAACTGGAACTTGCAATTGTCATGTGAAGTGGGGCAGTCTTGTGGGACTGAGCCCTTAACTTGTGGGATGTGAAGTTACTCCATGTAGAAAATGCCAGAACTCTGAATTGTAGGACACTCCGCTGGTGTCAGAAATAGTCTGTATGGAAACCAAGCCCCCACACCACATCTGGTAATAGAAGTGTTCTCTTTGAGTGTATAAAGGTAAATAGTGAGTTTTCCTAGACAGTCTTGCTCACTGAAACACAATTCAGTTAATTTTCTTTTGTAATGGTTCTGAATCAGAGATGATTTTGCTCGCCAGGGGACATTGGAGACATTTTTGGTTGTTGTATCTGAGTGCCTTTGAGTATATTTCAAAAGTTACATGTATATCCTTAAAAGTTGTGAGATCTGATGGCACCATACATAAATGACAAAGATATTCTTATATATGCATGTATTTGTGTGTACATATTTTCTATATAACATTGCACATTTGGGCTTCCAACATACAACAAAAGGAAAAGGAGTAAGCTTTTACTTGCTTAGGAATTTTGTCCATGAACCTGGTAAATATTCATAAACTCAAAAGCGAAATTCAAATATTTTTCAATCTACAAGTTTTGGAAAAATGAATTAATATTCATCTGGCCTCTCCCACATCACTCTATTTATTTTCTGAAAATAAAGATTATTAATTAAAAAGAAGGCTCAATCCCCAAAATAAAGACAAGATTTGTCACAGGGAGTCTCTCTAGCAATAGCTTTAGACACACTTGTATGGGAATATCAGCTATGAGGTACATGGCTAGTACTTGTTACTCATTAGTAGAGAGCCAATGTTTTTAATGCTTAACTTTTTCTTTTTTTCTTTTTGTAAATGAGAGAGGATTCAACATCCCTCTCATGTATTTGCATTCGCATATGCTCTCTGGAATTGAAGAAAATATAGTAAAAACAAACTTGCTAGAAATGGCTTTTAATCCAAGGAATTGTCATAAAAGTATATGACATGAGACCCACTCAGTGGGGAGTACTATTATCATTAAGGTGGTAAATGGGGCTTTAACATACTTGATGAAAAGGCTAATGTAAAAATCACATATCATTTCATAACTTATTTTTTTAAAGATTTATTTATTTATTTGAGAGAGAAAGCACACAGAGGGAGAGAGTGAGGGAGAAGCAGACTCCGTGCTGAGCAGGGAGCCCAACTTGGGGCTCCATCCCAGGACCCTGGGATCATGACCTGAGCTGAAGGCAGATGCCTAACCAACTGAACCACCAAGGTGCCCCTCATTTCATAACTTATAATCTGCTATGAGGTATATCTGAAAATTGCCATATTGACAATATTTATATTTATTATTTATTTATTTATATTTAACATTTATTTATACTTATTTATAAATTATTCATACTTAACACACTATTTAAAACAGGTTGAAAGTTCAAAATAAGGAATATAAAATGTAATGGAGATAATTATGCAAGATTTAATAACTTATTAAAATCAACTTACTGAGCCCATGACAATTGGTCTTATAGTCTGAACACCAGGAGAAGAACAACGCAGTTCTGTCTTGGGTGAGCTAGTATTTAAAAAGAACAGGAAGATAAATAAGCATAGATACATGCAAGATTAGTAAAAATTCCCCTACTACTTTTTAAGCCTAAAAACATCAATTGTATGTTAATAAGAAAAATAAAAAATATAGCAATATTTTACTTCTATCCTATTTTCAAAGAGATTTTGTCTTTCTTTTCACATCTATGTGATGGGAAGAAATTTACATTCAAATGCAGCCCTGAATCTGAATGTCTACACTATATGAATATGTTTTTATGTGTAAATGCACACATTATATTGACATTCACAGCAAAAATCTTACCTTTTATTTTTCACAGAACAAGTTGCTGGCACACTCCACTCAGAAAAAAATGTTCCTTCATACTCTAACTTAATCTAAAAAAGAAGGTAAAATAGTTCAAACAGAAAAATCTGCTTCAAAATTTTTATCTCAGTGCTCTGATGTAGGGCTCAAGTTCCTGGGTCCTTACTATCAAAAAAAAAAAAAACAACTAAATTTTGATTCCTTTAAAATTGTACAAAGAAATGTGAAGAAGGAAAAATAACTTTTCCAAGACACTTCAGATGTCTTCCCCCCCCAAAACCATGATTCTTATTTTGTTTTACATCAAAAATAATCTATCAAGTGTCTAGCAGTTGACTGGCACTCCAGTAGATTCTAAGGATAAAGAAAAATTAGTGAGACAAGGTCCTTCACTTAAAAACAAGTCATGGTAAATTCTGAGGTCCTACTCTGCATATCAGGGACTCTACCACTGTAACTTCCATCAGTCACATTTTCCCTATTCCTTATTTTTTTCTGCTTCCACATTCTTTCATTTATAAGTTATTTCCCCTTTTGAAGGATACTAATCCACTTTCTAACATCATCAGTCTTAGTCTCAACATTGGTCCTCTTTTTTTAAGGAGTGTCCAGGCCCAGTGTGGAGCCCAACACGAAGCTTGAACTCACAACCCTGAGATCAAGACCTGAGCTGAGATCAAGAGTCAGACATTTAACTGACTGAGCCACCCAGGTATCCCTGGTCCTCTTCTTAAGCCAGGGTTGGAACCCAATTTCACCTTTATAGTAACAATTATGTACACAAACATATGTACAAATTTCATGTAGATATACATCTGTAAATACTGCTTCAGTGTTTTTAGTTGTAAAACGAGGATTATAATACCAGCTATCTCATAAATTTGAAATTATAGCATTAGTGACAGTGTATAAGAAAAAGAGAAAATCACCAGAAGATATAACATAACCCTGAAATATATAAAGCAAAAAAATTTTGAGTATAGTTGACACACAATGTTACAATAGTTTTAGATGTACAACATAGTAATTGCACAAGTTTTTATATTATGCCATGTTCACAGGTGTAGCTACCATCTGTGCTGATACATTGCTATTACACTCTCATTGACTATATTCCTTATACCGTGTCTTTCATTCTCCTGACTTAATTCATTTCATAACTGGAAGCCTATATCTCCCACTCCCATTCACCCATTTTACCCAAACCATCACCCTTTCCTCTGGCAACCATCAGTTTGTTCTCTGTATTTACAGCTCAGATTCTGCTTTTTGTTTATTCATTTGTTGTTGCTGTTGTTGTTTTTTAAGATTCCACTTATGAGTGAAATCATATGGTATTTGTCTTTCTCAGTCTGACTTATTTCACTTAACATACGGTCTCAATCCACCCATGTTGTTTCAAATGGCATGATCTCATCCTTTGGTATGCCTGTGTAATACTCTGGTGTGTGTGTGTATTTCTTAACCACTCATCTTTTGATAAGCAATCTTCCTTATCCATTGATCTATTGATAGATACTTAGGTTGCTTCTGTATCTTAGCTATTGTCAATAATGCTGCAATAAACATAGGGGTGCATAATTTTCTTTGGGTAAATACCCAGTAGTGGAATTATTGGATCATATGGTATTTCTATTTTTAACTTTTTTAAGATTCATTTATTTGAGAGAGAGAAAAGAAGAGATGGCTTGAGCAAGGGGAGGGGCAGAGGGAGAGAATCTCAAGCAGACTCCATGCTGAGTGCGGAGCTCTATGCGGGGCTCAATCCCACCACCCTGAGATCATGACCTGAGCAGAAACCAAGAGCTGAGCATTTAACTGACTGAGCCACCCAGGTGCCCCTCTATTTTTAATTTTTAAAGTAACCTCCATACTGTTTTCCACAGTGGCTGCAGTTTGCATTCCCACCAACAGTGCACAAAAGTTCCTTTCTCTCCACATCTTCATGAACGCTTGTTATTTATTGTGGTTTTGATTTTAGCCCTTCTGACAGGTGTGTGGTGATATTTTCACTGTGGTTTCAATTTGCATTTCCCTGATGATTAGTAATGTTGAATATTTTTTTATGTCTCTGTTGGCAATCTGTATGTCTTCTTTGGAAAAATGTCTATTCAGGTCTTCTGCCTATTTTAACTGGATTATTTGGGGGTTTTTCAGTGTTGAGTTGTATAAGTTCTTTATGTATTTTGGATATTAACCCTTTATCAGATATGTCACTTGCAAATATCTTCTCCCATTCAGTAGGTTGTCTTTTTGTTCTGTTGATGGTTTTCTTTGCTGTGCAGAAGCTTTTTATTCTGATGTTGTTCCAATAGTTTGTTTTTGCTTTTGTTTTCCTTGCCTCAGGAGACATATTTAGAAAAATGTTGCAGTGGTCGATGTCAGAGAAATTACTGCCTGTGTGCTTTTCTAGGATTTTTATGGTTTCAGGTCTCTCGTGTTTAGGTTTTTAATCCATTTTTATTTTATTTTTGTGTATGGTATAAGAAAGTGGTCCAGTTTCATTCTTTTACATGTTGCTGTCCAGTTTTCCCAATACCATTTATTGAAGAGACTGTCTTTTTTGCATTGGATAGTCTAGCACCCTTTGTTAGATTAATTGACCATATATTCACTGGTTTATTTCTGGGCTTTCTATTCTGTTTCATTGATTTACGTGTCTATTTTTGTGCCAGTACCATACTGTTTTGATTACTACAGCTCTGTAGTTTATCTTGAAATTGGGGATTGTAATACCCCCAGCTTTGTTCTTTCTCAACATTGCTTTGGCTATTTGGGGTCTTTTGTGGTTCCATACAAATTTTAGTATTATTTATTCCAATTTTATGAAAAATGCCATTGGTATTTTGATAGGGATTGTATTGAACCTATAGACTATATAAAGCAAAATTTGATGAAAGTACCAGGAAAAATTTAAAAGCCACAAATATAGTGGTAGATTTTTGACACATTTTTCTCAAACTACAGATAAACCTATAAAATTAGCCAATATAAAATAAAATATATTCTTTTCAATCTCACATAGAACTTTTACCAAAATTGATCATATTTACAAAAGAAGTCTTAGCCAATCTCAAAGAATTATCATCACACATACAATGCCTTTGATATTAATGAAATAAAAGTAGAATTTTTCATAAAGTTAGCCAGAAAAATCTTAAGGTATTTATAATTCTTAAAGAAAAAAAAAACCCAAACTTTACTTCTGAATGATTCATGAAGTAAAGGAGAAATCACGATGAAAGTTACAAAATATTTATAAATAAAGAATAAAAACATTCAATGTTCTTAAAACTTGTAGCATATAGTATAAATAATTCCTAAAATGAAATTTATAGCCTTAAATACACGTAGAAGAAATAAGGTAGGTTGAAAGTGAATAAACTTGGTTTTCAGTATAAGATGCTAATAAAATAACAACAGAGAAAACCCAAAAAAGTAAAAGGAAGGATACAAAAAAAGGCATTTACAGAAGAAAACAAATTAAGAAGGGTTAGTGGTGATGTAGTTTTTGAATCTACTCCAATTTCCTTGTAGGCACAGAGAAGATAATTAGGGTAGTACCAATGAAACAAACAAAACAACACTGGACAATGTCAACAATAAAACTTAGTGACAAAGTATTCCTCAAAATCCCAAAATATAAGTGGGTTGGAACAAGCCAGCTAAAACAACCAGACTCACATGATATCAGCATAAGGCAGCAAAAGAAAGCAAATATGGTAGACCTTAGAAGAGAAGAACATTTAAATCAGTGATAGGTATTCATTGGAAACCATGGCAGGACTTTGGGAAGACAGCAACTCTAACCAGAGAGATTGTTGTACTTTTCAATTTCTAAGTTTAAGTCCAAGAGGTCCATGATAATATTTGAAAGGGCAGGAGAAACTGGGATCTATGAACACCAAAACCAAGGACCTAAAGATAACTTCTAGGGCAAGGATCTGTAATGAAGGGAAAAGAATCCCAACTGAGCTGGAAAGGGACAATAAAGACAAAGGAAACAAAAACTACAGATGAAAGAGAGAAGGAAACAGAATCTGGAGCTCTCAAAAAGTATTAGCCTTATTTTTGGACACTTTACAAAACAAGAGAAGAGGTAACTCTAAAGCCATGAAGTTAGAAAAGTTATTTTGACCCACCCTGCCTTAAAGATCAGGAAAATCAATTTCATGTAAAAAAAAAAAAAAGCAACAGAAAAAGGATCACAGTCTAATTTCACACAGTTGTTATAAGAAAAAGAAAATACAAAGCAGAATAACATCTCTGTAAGAACATACCCAATAAATAAATGAAAGCTACAACTTAATATGAGGTTTAGTCTTACGTATCAACTTGGCTAGATTACAGCACCCAGTTATTTAATCTAACATAAGTCTTGCTGTGAGGATATTTTATGATGTGGTTTACATCTACAATCAGTTGACTTTAAGTAAAAGAGAATACCTTTGATAATGTGGATGGGGCCTCTTCCATCACTTGGAAGCATTCAGAAAAAACTGAGGTTTCCTGGAAAAGAAATTCTGCTTCAAGCTGCAGCATTAACTCTGGCCTGAATTTCCAACCCGTTGGCCTGACTTAGAGATTTCAGAGTCACCTGTTCCCACAATCACATGAGCCAATTTCCTAAAATAAATCTCTTATTATACATATGTATAAATTCTATTGGTTCTGTTTCTCCGTGAGAACATCGGCTGATACACCTACTATTTCAAAATGAGGTAAAGTAAATAAGAGAATGATAAAAGTTATGAAGAACAATATAAATCAGAATTTGAAACTCATAAGTAAGCTAGAACTTGGGAAAAATTTAGAAACAAAAGTCATTTCAGAAATAAACCAAATTAGAGAAACCACAATTGTGAATAAAAAATAGATAAGGCCTTGAGATAAATAGGTTTTTAAGAATAAAAGAAATAGGGGAGGGGGAATTGGTTAGCCTGGTGATGGGTATTAAGGAGGGCACGTACTGCATCGAGCACTGGGTGTTATACGAAAACAATGGATCGTGGATCACCACATCAAAAATTAATGATGTATTGTATGGTGACTAACATAACATAATAAAATTAAAAAAAAGAATAAAAGAAATAGAAAGCAATTCAAGAGTAAGTGACAAATATAAAAGATAGGAAAAGAAAATTCAATATATGTGTAGTTGGAGATACTGAAGAAGAAAATCAAAGTGTTTGGAACAGAACAATAACATCAACATAAACTGTAATTCAACATTAATATGTGAACTAAAATAATTTGAAACAGCATATTGAAAAGGCACAGCTCAGAACTAGGAAAAACAATAAGAATGATTAAAAAAAATAAAAGCAACCAGGAGCTATATTAATAAAAGCACTGGGCTTAAAGAGAAACACTTTGGGGATCTTGACTAAAACAACAACAAGAACAAAAAAACACATGTTATTCATAAAGGAAAGAAAATCATATATCCAACAGACTTTTTGGAAACAACACTTTCTGTCAGAGACAACAAAGTTAACACATATAAAAGGAAATAGAACACAGGGTGCCTGGATGGCTCAGTTGGTTAAGTGTCCAATTCTTGATTTTGGCTTAGGTCATGATCTCAGGGTTGTGAGATTGAGCCCAGCATTGGGCTCTGTGCTCAGCAGGGAATCTGCTTAAGATTCTCTCCCTCTGCTCCACCACCCACTCATACTCTCTCTCTCTCAAATAAATAAATAAATCTTTAAAAAAAAAGAAATAGAACAGAAGCCAATAATTTTTATATCCAGATACACCAACTTTTAGATATAAAACCTACAGGTAAGCTCTTATGACCACAAAATAATTCAGGAAATATTACTCCTATGAGCCCTTCCTGAGAAATCCACTAGAAGAGCTTCAGATCACCAAAATGACTGCAGAGATATCAGCATAAATATGATACTAAGTATTACATAAGAATTTTTTTTGTGGAACTGTGTCTGCATGGTGGGTATAAAAAATGGGATATAGTTGCTAATTACTGTAGTCTGACAGTGTATCAGAACATGAGTGGTGGGAGGATTATTTAGCCCAGGTAAGGTGGCCACATAAGTTTGACTCTCTCCACACATTTCCAAAAAAACACACATATCAACAAATAAAACCCAGAAAGTTGTATGTCATAACATAGCTAGAAGACAAAGCACACTGCAAATTTCAAGAAACCTATAAGTAAAAAATCAACTTTCTTTAGCAGAACTCTCACTCAAGACCCTTCTTCTGAAAGTCTTCTAGAAAAACTACAGGGAAAAGGCAGAAAATGAAAGGGTAAGACTGAATTAAAATCACCCACAGAGAGAAAAAGCACTCCCTAGGTGCAAAAATATAATAGAAAAAGACTCCTAGAAGACCAGAGCACTGACTCTGAGGACAAGAACTAAAGGCATATGAGACTTGAGATGGGACCTTCAGAAAGGTGTCACTTCTTCAGAGAAGATTCAGGAAAGGGAGAAACCCTTTGGAGAGTGAATGGTGTAGGGAAGGAGAATCAAGAGGGGGAGATTTAGAATAGGACAGGTCAAAAAACCAAACCAAACCAAGCAACTAAGGAAATATAACACTCCCAGTAAAAAGCTATCAATTAAAGAAATTGTACTTTGCTAGAACAAGAGAAGAAAGTTAGGTTTAACTAGGAATCTTTCTTTTTGGGGGGGGGGAAACAGAGGGAGAGGGAGAGAGAATCTTAAGCAGGCTCCACACTCAGCATGGAGCCCCCAACATGAGGCTCAACATCAGGACCTTGAGATCATGACCTGAGCCAAAATCAAGAGTTGGACTGAGCCACCCAAGCACCCCAGGTGAGGATCTTTGAAACCAACTCAAGCTGGCAAACTGTTCATAAAATTCAAAGATATAATCAGATTTAATCTATACAGAGTTGCTATAAGAGAATAGAAAATAAAAATAAAAACATTTCAGTTAATAAAAGTCCCTTCAAAAAATCAAACACAGGGCGCCTGGGTGGCTCAGTCGTTAAGCGTCTGCCTTCGGCTCAGGTCATGATCCCAGGGTCCTGGGATTGAGTCCCACATCGGGCTCCCTGCTCAGCGGGAAGCCTGCTTCTCCCTCTCCCACTCCCCCTGCTTGTGTTCCTGCTCTCACTGTCTCTCTCTGTCGAATAAATAAATAAAATCTTAAAAAAAAAATCAAACACAGAGGAAAACTGCAAACTAGTATCCTAAACTGAATTAAATAACCTCAAACAAGCATTTGGTGATAAAAGAAAAATCTTGAATTATAAATTCATAAACTAGGTGAATCACTATATTGTATACCTGAAACTAATATAACACTGTATGTTAACTATACCAGAATTAAAACAAAATAAATTCATAAGCTAGGAACAGAAAATGAACCACAAATAGAAATAAGAGTTGATATATAATGTATTATTTGTTTCAGAGGTACAGGTCTGTGGTTCAACAGTCTTACACAATTCACAGCACTCACCATAGCCCATACCCTCCCCAATGTCTATAGTAGGAAGGGAAAAATGAAGGGGGGGAATCAGAGGGGGAGATGAATCATGAGAGACTATGAACTCTGAGAAACAAACTGAGGGTTCTAGAGGGGAGGGAGGTAGGGGGATGGGTTAGCCTGGTGATGGGTATTAAAGAGGGCATGTATTGAATGGAGCACTGGGTGTTATAGGCAAACAATGAATCATGGAACACTACATCAAAAACTAATGATGTAATGTATGGTGATTAACATAACATAAAAAAAAAAGAGTTGACCAAACAAGCACATGAACTATGATGATAAAGGAAATAAAGACTAAATTAAAAGATACTAGTGGTAAATTATATGTGAATAAAAATTGAACAAAAGGAATTGAAGAAAGGCAGAAAAACAACCAAGAGACTATAAGTGGAATAAGTAAAGAAGAAAAAAAGAGAGCAAGAGAAAGAAAGTGACTGAAATGGAAGGCAGACAAAATCCAACTCTTGTATAACTGGAGTCCCTGAAGTTGAAAAACAAAATAACAGAACTAATATTAAAATCTGTAACTAAGAAAGCTTTACAGAAAGAAAAAAAAGATCTCTCTCTCTCTCTCTCTCTATATATATATATATACATACCAGGTACCTAGAGAGATCACTGGTACCTGGAAAAATAACCTTTAAAAGTCAAATCTGAAACTTATCTGAGAGAACGTTAGACTTTAAAGGTAAAGGAAAGGGGCGCCTGAGTGGCTCAGTCGGTTAAGCGTATGCCTTTGGCTCAGGTCATGATCCCAGGGTCCTGGGATCGAGCCCCGCATCAGGCTTCCTGCTCAGCAGGGAGCCTGCTTGTCCATCTCCCACTCTCCCTTCTTGTGTTCCCTCTCTCACTGTGTCTCTCTCTGTCAAATAAATAAATAAAATCTTTAAAAAAAAAAAACAAAAAAAAATAAAGGTAAAGGAAAATCCTTAGGCCTCGCAACAAAAACATCAAATAGGATACAAGAACATCGGAATTCTCTAAAGCAATCTATATAGCAAGGTAACAAGGAAGGTAACCAAGAATGAAACAAGGTAACCAAGGAATGAAAGTATGAACCAAAGATTCTATGTCCAGTCAAGCTCTCCTTTAAATATTAAAGTCACAGAAAAAAACGTTCTTTAAAAAGAATGCAAGAGGGCACCTGAGTGGTTCAGTCAGTTAAGCGTTGGGCTCTTGATTTCAGCTCAGGTCATGATCTCAGGGTCCTGGGATTGAGCCCCATGTTGGGCTCTGCACTCAGCAGGGAGTCTGCTTGAGGATTCTCTCCTTCTCTGCCCCCCACCGCACACTGTCTCTAAAATAAATAAATCTTAAAAAACAAAAAGAACTCAGGAAATACTGTATCTAGGACCCCTTTCTGAGGAATTTACTAGAGCAAGGACCAGCAAACTATGGCCTGTGTCATCACCTGTTTTTGTAAATAAAGTTTTATGAGAATACAGCCACATTCAGTTTCATTATTTAGTGTCCATGGCTGCTTTCAAGTTACAATGGCAGAGTTAATTATTGTAACAGAGATCATTTGATTTTCAAAGCTTAAATATACACTATCTGGCCATTATAGAAACTTAATCAACAACTGTACTAGGATACAGTACAAACTGGCAAAACTGACAAAAACTGGCAAAAGGATTGATGGTGAGCATTAATATATTTGATTGTAGATAAAAGATTAACACTTGAAGATAAAGGTTAAAGGCTAATACATGTTATATATATTCTGACAAAATAGAAATAATGCAACTAAAAAATATGTTGGAAGTAGGAGAGGAATAAAGAAAAGGAGAATAAGTTCATTAAGTGTTGACTGGAAAGACTAAAGTGTGGGAGAAAACCTAGGTGACCTTCAGTTCAGCAATGACTTTTTAGATACAACACCAAAGGCATGATCCATGGAAGAAAAATTTTATAAATTGGGCTTCATTAAAATTAAAAAAGTCACTGTTAAGAGAATGAAAAGGGAAACCATAAACTGGGAGAAAATATTTGCAAAACTACTTATATCTGATAAAATCTAGTATCCAAAATATTAAAAAAAAAAACTCTTAAAA